GAAAAGCATCTATAAACCTCAATGAAATTGACACGAACAAAATATCATAAGATTCAGCCCTCACTCACAACTGGTGAGGCTGTCAACCATCAGTCTGGAGACCACATCTGCCATCATCTGTAGTTTTCTTTACGTATGGACAGTTTCATAAACAAATCTCAAGACAAAGTCCTTTGCGTCCTTAGATGCGTTCTTGCAAATTCTTTCTTGTCCATTTCAGAAACCAAAGTTTGTGATCTGTTTCAATCATCATTTTCAAACAATAATGTCTTCTGAAAATCTCTCACAAACCCAAATAACTGAGGAGCTTCCTTTTCAGTCACATCATATCATGTTTGTGTCAGATGATGCTGTTGGCATATAATAAATTGGTTTGTGATACCTATCCAGCTGTTCTTGGAAGAGTAGTACTGTTGACTGTGACTGAAGCATTGGCTGATGTCATTAAAAATAAGCATTATAATGTGCTAAGACATCTGTAGACATCAACATTTGTTTAATCTTCTGAAACATGTTCCCTTGATGAAGTACCATCCTTCTGACATCTTGACGACGTCTCAAGGCTTCTGTAATGGATGCTAACTTATGCAAATATGTTGCCATGTGATTCATCATACCTAAGAATTTTTGAATATCCTGGGCTTTCTTTGGAGTTGGAAATTCTGTCATGGCTTTAGTCTTCTGAGGATCTACCATCATGCTTTCACTGTTAAGTCCCACAAAATGAATGGATTCTTTGGTGAATTCATTTTTGTCATTAAGTGTGAGACTTCCTCCCGTAAATGCATTAATACTGCAGGCTCTCTCTGATTGTACCCCTGAGTTACTCCCCCATGGACCTGAATGCTGTCCATGCAACAAATGATTCTGCGAAAACCTTGTAAGATTTTAAATAATGCTAAAAGGTGACACAAAGTCAAAAATTTTTGTCTTGCACTTTTCAGGACAAGATTGCAAGAAATAGATTTGGAAAAAAAGAGACACCAATTTATGCAGGATGAAAAGAGGGTACTGATTGATTAGGACATTATTGGCATGGAGGTGCAGCTGGAACTGTCCATCTTAGTTCTCAGACCAGGCATATAGAGTCTGATTATTCAGGGTGATGCCACCAGAATGCAGCAGAGATTTGCAGTCTCCATGACCGAATTTTATGCAATAAACCTAAAGGTAAGTTTTATCCAATAACAGGATACTGCCATCAAGCCAAAATGACATATTGCCCACCACACAAATGAGTTTTTGCGATATGAGTTTCAACGCTGGTGTAATGCCAAATGTGTAGGTGATGTGTCCCCACAAGTGGCAGACTGTATCAAACATTTCCTGTTGACCATTTGCAACAGGCTTCATGCTGACTGTGATGAACCAGCCCATGCTTGCAAGCTTCAGAATATCATGCCCAATCTGTGATTCAGATGTTAGACAAGATTTATTAAATAATCCAGACTATGCTAAGAATTACAATGAATACTAATTGAAGATCATCAGTGTGATGCATTTGCACGTGCTATAAACTAGATCAATTACCAGTGTGAATACTCATAAATGGGTTCAATGTAATTGCAGTTACAAAGGTTGTAGGATGTCCAAAGCTGGGAACTGAACATCTAAGGGTATTCAATCCTAAGGAAGGACAAGCAAAAAGGAAGATGGCGTTGTTGATGAAAACTGAAATCAGTGCAATAGTGAGATAAGATGATAGTGCAGAAAATCTAGGTATGAAATCATTTGCTATGGAGCAACAAAGAGTGGAAAATATTATTGGGAGTTGTCTACATACCTCAAAACCGTTGTTGTGCCATAGGGGATGATATTAAACGGGAAATTAGAAATACATACAACAAGGCTACTACAGTAATCATGGGTGCCTTTAGTCTACGTATGGACTAAACAAACCACATAAGCAATAATACTGTGGCAGCTGATTTTCTGGAGCATTTACAAAATGGTTTGTAAGACCAGTCTACTGAGGAACCAAGTACGGAACAGATATCCTATAGTGTCTTTTGTGCAAAGGGAAGACATTAATCAATAATTTTGTTATAAAAGATCCTTTAGATAAAATGACTATAGCATGATTTAATTCTGGGATCTGACTTGTCCAGTAGTAACATCTGATGGGAATCAGAGTTCATTAAATTGAAAAGGTATGTCTTTTAAATGCATGGTTATATTTCCTATGGTGAATAGAAATCATCACCGTATTAATGGCAACAAGAATGCCCTGCGTTCTCCAGCAGGGTCAGAAGTACAATTGATTAGAATATTGAACTATTTCCCTCCACTACAGTTTGAATTGGGTGCAGAAGTGTGAAGGTTTGATCTCATGAGGTAAAGGTTTTTACAGGTGTACCTCCTGTCTGTTGTCTAAGTCACTAGAATAAAGAAGATAAACACTTCGAATTCAGGATCAGAATTGATTATTTCAGGTGATCTAGTCATTCTTGATACAGTGTTAACAATAACCTATTATTTCCACTCAACATGAACAGAGAATAGACCAACATTTGACCAGTCAGACATTTTATGGCCAACGACCATATTAGCAAGGGATATTACTCTTTTAGGTGTGCACAGTACACAGTCTTATCACATTTTGTCATGGTAACTGGTGGTAAGATAGGATATTGTGCTGTTTCCAGGAGCAGAAAGCCAGGTGGATAATGGATCCTAATCGAGTGGGTGGCCAAAAATAAGACTCCTGACAGCATGATGAAAATTTGTAACAAAATTTTCTGAACTTTAAAAGTGGGTTGAGATCCCAAAAACTTTTGTTTACATTTATCAGTTCACCAGATTTAAGCTCCCCTTCAAAATTAAGTTGACACGAATGAGCAATACATGCCTTCAGTTTTGAGGCTGTAGAAAAATGGCATGCAATGGGTGATGTAGTTATTTTCCTGGACATTGGAGTAGTTGCTACTTTGCCCTCATTGGAGAGCATTTGCCAAAATTTGTTGAGTTTGGGTGGTGGTAGTTTAAGTTGGATGGGAAACGGAGGATGACTAAGGGAGGGACGCTGGATTAAGGAGACTAAGGGTATAAGTCTGTTTGGAGAAGTGAGATAGGCTGACTGGGACAGGGTGGAAGAACCACTACATTTATCAGCAGGTAGCTCCTGGCTTGTAGGGAATGAATAGTTGCCAGGGTACTCTTTAAATATGGTACCAGGACCTCTGATCCCTTAAGGGAATGTTGGGGATGTAAACTTCATGCCTGCCTCCTTCACAAGATTTGCCAAGCTCCTTAGACTTGCTTCTGTAATTGTGAGAGAAGGGGCCTCACCTCCAATTGGAAATGATGCTCATTTCAATGTCTGCTGCTAATCTTGTATGCCAGAATGGAAGATTTGGGCATTCATGGTGGACTGTGCCAGATCTGATGTTTTCTGTTTGCATCCATATTCCGAAAACCTTTAAGTTTGCTAGCAATATTTACACCTCAACTCCTCTTCAATTCCCAGCTGTCATTCCTTCAACATATTATTTGCTTAAGAACTTCCTTACCTTGATTCTTTACGCCAACTGAGTGTCTCCTATAACAGCCACCTTTGTGATTTCCGGGTTCTGGGCTGAAAGTTAGTGTGCACATGGTAGAAAGCTCACCTGATTGGGCATTGCTAGTTTCAGATGAACATCTCTCCTTCTCACCAGCCAAATCTTCCTAATATTATGGAGTCATCTGGAGGGCAAAGATAATCTGGAAATTCCCTTTACATCATGAACAAGCTCTTGAAAAGATCTTTTCTGGTATTTTCTAATGGTAGATGTGAAGAACTCAAAGAAATTCCCAACTGAGACAATCTGGCAGCCTCTATCCCTTTCTCTTCCTAACGTCTCTCAACTATAACAGATCTTTTCTCTAACCCCAAGTTCTCATCACATTTGTTTTTTCCATCATGTGTTTGTTTGGTTTTCCAAATCAAGTGATTTCTTCTCATATCTATGATTGCTGACATTGCAACCTTACCAAGTGGCTCAGGGCTAGACGTCCGCCTTACACAACAGCAGCAAGTTTTGCACTCATTCTAGTTACATATTTTAGAGAGTCTTTCAAGTTCCATTTTAATGCAAATTACTCATCTAAATTTGCATTCTAAAAATTGACAACATTATTTCAGAAAGTCAACATTAAAATGATAAATATTTCAGGAAAAAAGTGACATTAGGGGACAACACAGGATTGTTTAAGTAAAATACTTATTGCAAATATGGTTAAGGCGTGAACTTGCATGGAATGTTGGCACATATCCTAAGATGTGCTCGGAGATAGCAAGAACTACAGATGCTGGAGTCAGAGTCAATACAGTGTGGAGCTGGGGGAGCACAGCAGGTCAGGCAGTATCAGAGGAAGGAAAGTCAACATTTTGAGTTTACATCCTTCATCCTCTGATGCTACCTGACCTGCTGCGTTCCGCTTAAGATGTGCTGTTGGTAATTCTTTTGCCTCTTATACATTGATTATCTTTAATTATCATTACACTGTATCATTCACTGTTTTGCAAAAGCAACAGACACTGAAAATACCATGACTTAGCACAATTTTGAGAACAAAATGTTAGCAATGCAATATTAAAACTGAACACTTGCCAAACAGGATGAGGTTGCTTTTTAGAATGTATTCATTCTGAAAACTATTTTTATTTCTTTTTTAAGCATTAACACAGAACATTTTTACAAGAAATCGATAAAGTTCTAGCAATAAAAGGGAATCAAATATGATAACCAATAAAATCTAATTAAAACTTCTGTATTCTTTCTGACTAGATTAAATTGTGTTAAATTTATAATAATTTAATGTACCCACATACAAAAATATGTATCTATCAGGCAATCCCAGGTTGCAAACAGATTCTGTTCTCGAGTTAATTCACAGGTCAATTTGTATGCAGTTCAGAACACAATGCAAGACAACATAAAATAGCTGTTTGCATGTATAGAAAATGTCCATATGTTGGATCTCTAAAATTACACCTCTATATGGGATTGTGTTCTTAGGTCAGATGTCTGGAGATCGGGCACCCCCTGTATATAAAATGGTAGTATATCTGTCAATGGCAAAGATGGCAGCAGGGTAAGTTGCTCCATTCAGAGCTTCAATCTGCTTGCCAGTTCCCTATTCCTTTTCCTTTCATTTTTCTTCTTCTTCTCTCTCCTCTTTGTAGTAATTCTATCCCACCCAACTGCCCGCCCTTTTAACAACCTACCTAAAGAGTTGAGAAAGATTCGGGTAGTGACTGGGAACCACGCGGCAGGAGCTGAACATGCGAGCTGGTGACGGTGGATCGAGTGTGGGCTGGACCGACGTCGGCAGCGAGAGCGGGCCGGTGACAGCGGGCCGGTGAGGCAGGGGCGGTGAGGCAGCAGCAGCTGGTGGTGAGAGTGGATTCTGAGACCTGGACTTGTCTTTCTTGCTTACTTTTTGGCTCTATTAAATCTTTTAATTCTAGTTCTTGTAACTAAGAAGGTGCCAGTGAATGTTGACTTTGTACACTTTTTGCCGTACTTATGTATTTCTATACTTAGTACGTGTGACAAATAAATTTAAATCTAAATCATAGAGCCTTGCTTTTAATAAAATGTCCATCAGTTACAGGAACATATTTGTTGATTAAAGGATTTAACCTCAATGTTAGATAACAAGGTGTAGAGCTGGATGAACACAGCAGGCCAAGCAGCATCAGAGGAGCAGGAAGGCTGACGTTTCAGGCCTAGACCCTGTTTTTTACAGGTTGTCCCACAGGAAGATGTGCAATGCTAACAATTCCAATTAGAAGCAATTGACCAACTGAACTGTTTGACTTTCATTGATTTGAATGTCAAGCTCAAGCATTGTTGTAGCAAGTTCTTCTTTCATTCTTTAGATTTTGAATCACCTTCTTTACTCTCTGCAACTAACAGTATAGAATTCCCCATTTTAGGTTTCAATTCACTCAAATATTGACTAAATTCTCTATTGGATTGTGGAAAGAGGTTAGACTGAAGTCAATGCTTTTCAGATTCAAACATTTTACAATGCTGCAATGGATAGAAAATCAAAAAGAAAATGTACTCTGAATATAAATACAATTCCTGCATTCAGATACCCAAAGGCCATGATTGTTTACAATGAGTACAGGCTAGTATTTTTACAAACAGTTGCAGTGTAGCTGCATAAATTAGATGTTGTCTTTACAGGATCAGGATAATCTACTGTGAAGTCAACACAGTTCCAAACAAACTGAATGTTCTCATTTACAGATGTGCATCAGCTGATACTTAGATGGTTCGCTGACTTAAGCCTGGCAATTACATATCATTTAGTTGCATACCACAAGGATTACAACAAATATTTTAACAACAACCGGATTAAAGGAATGATTATTGCTCCCTTGGTAGGCTAAAACAAAATTTGCACTGGTCATGCGTGTTATGACACAATAAATTTAAACACAGATTTCACAAGCCAAACTTTATTAATGCAAAAGCAACACAGTTAATAAAGAATCCAGATGTTGTGGATTTTGATGAAATCTTCATAGTTCTTACATATTCAAATAAAATAATTAAATCAGAGGGCAGTTTTATCCAACATCGAAAACATAATCACAGTTGTTGAAGAATAATTGTTCTGAGATCCACACAGCAGGCATTAGGATAAATTACCGACAACTTTACAATGTAGAATTTTACATCTTAAATGTAATTTTAAAACAATTCTTATGTTTTTAATATTTTGTCTTAGATTCTTAAAACAAACATGTATACAATAACATAAAGACACATTTAATTAAGTCCCTGAATATTTCACGCTTTGCACTGAAGTAGCAATATTTTCTAGGACTAAATCGTATAACATGACTTTTGGTGCTACATAGATCTATGCTGATTTATTGGGGCAAGTAAAACTGTGGACTATTCCTATGTGGTCTTCTCCAAATAAATCAATGGAGAATGCCATCCAGGTAGAAGCCCCTTCTCCTCTTGCCCCTGAGATCTGTGTAGTGCACTTAAGGGTAGAGCTAAGCAAACAGATTTCTTTCTTTGTATTTTTAACAGCATCTGAGAAAAATGAATTGCCTGACATATATAAAAAAGGTTAGTGATTCAACTATTTTAATTTTATTTAAAGTGCATTGCCTTCAAGAAAAAATGCTGAAAAAAACTCATTATTTGGAGGAACAAAAGGAGTCAAAAATACCACAGACATTTTTATCAGAATTATGTCACACATAAGTGACAAAATTGACAGTGTTTTTCTTCATTACAGTGTGGTACATGCTTGTAAACAAATGTGAAAAGACTTGACAAAATACATTTTCATGAAAACGATGTTGTTTTATTTTTGTGTAAGGACACTTCTTACATATGTAAGCAAGACACACTTAATACATTTTTTAAAATTCTGGATACTTTCTAGTAATCCTAGATATTTTGAAGCTTGTTTTAAATCACCCGTGACAAATTTCCTCAACAAACTGTCCCTCGTGTATAGCATTGGATTATTTTATGTATAAAGACTTTATGCCCAGTAGTTTTAACAGGGGCTTCTTCCAGTCTGCTTCCAGGCTTCATGAACTCCAACAATAGTCTCTTTCTTCACACATTTAAAATAGCCTTTGAAACCATGTTGTATTGGTGCCTATTGAAACCAAAGGATTGAGTCTCAGTTACTGTAAACAGACACAGATTTTTTTGTCATAATCTACTGGGTCATTCTGTTCCAGTCAAAATTACTATGGACACATTATGTCAGTATTCAAGATTTTTATAAACCCAGGAATATAGGTATTATCCAATAGATATAAAACGATAAATGATTATTTGTCTTCCATCTTTTCACATACATTCAATATACTTTAAATCTATAAATTTTCCACCTTCTGTACTCCATTGTGAACGCCACTGCTACTGTGTTGCCCAAATTGTGTACCATTCATGTTTTTTTACAATGTAACATTTAATAACTGAAGAGTAGATTTTCAGCCTCATTTATCAATGCTTTTCTGAATTCATCAGGACTTTATCCCTAACTGATGTAGAGTTGTTGTTGTGTGGGTACTTCAGTCAGAAATTTAACTGATGTGAAAAGGGCCTAACATATGGATAAACATCACATCACAATTTGTCACACTCAATCCAAGTTGTGGGATCACTTGCAGGAATGCTATTTTGTCCACCAAATTCACTGTCTGTCAAGAAAGATTCTGCAACATCTTCATCACAGTGTTTAACAGTTTCTTAAATGATTTCAAAGTTTTCATTTCTACTATTTTATTTGAAAGTCCATTCCTTGAATTAAAGAGGATGCTTTCCTTGTCTAATAACTTGACGGAGGAGCACATTGAGGTGAACCTTGGCTTTCCAAAACCATTTAACTGCCATTAATAGGCTGAATACAGAATTCCTGCCCTTCTGGATCAGGAGACTCCCTCTGAGAGTTGCCAGCCAGTCAGATGTCAGAAATGTCAACACTTTGGGACAGAGTTTACATCGGTGTATCTAGGATTTGGTCAGGTTAGAAATGGAGCCTGCCTGCTTCTTCCCACCCTGGGGTGAAAAGGGTGGTGTTTGGGAGGCCATGAGGGGATTGCAAACTGGTATATGAGTAGCCCTCCAACGGGTCCAGGAAAGAAATACTGGGCTGAATGTTTAGTGTGGGCTTCTTCTGCTGTCACTGAAGTCCTGACCATAGTCGATGAGGCCCTTAAATGGGCATTCCCCACCAGATGCCCTCAAATTGGTCCATTGATAGCTGGGCTGGCCAAAGCCAGCTCCACTAGTGAGATAAATGTAGTTGATGCATAGGTAGGAAGGTGAGCGGTGAGCAAGTACCTCCTGGATTTACTAAGTCTCACACCTTTAAACCAAAGGAAGTTAAGCATTAAATCCAGCCCTTTATTCTGATCACATTTTGTGAGAAGAACTTTGTGATAATATTAAATTTACTTTTTACTAACTTAAACCTGCGTTCCTTTCATGGACTTCCATAATTTACACGATAGTAATCTTCATGATTTAATCTTTCCATTTCTTGCCTGGCTATTTCACTGTCTGCGCTGTTTCTGATACGTGACTATCTCCTTTATGTCTTGGTGACAAAACTGGATGTAAATCAAGGTGCAGTATAACCTAAGCACTTAACAAGTTTAATCAAGATTTCCTCTTATTTGATTATGCAGTTAACATTCTGTAGGCTTTGTATTGGCTTATTTTACACTCATCTATATTAAATTTTATATGCTTTTGTTCTGCTTATATTCATATTTTGTTCAAAACATTCCGTAAATTCTGTGCTGCCACCTGCTCCTCTTAATACAGTATCAAATACAAACTGAACTAATTTGCATTTAATTTTTCAAACCAATCCTTTGAGATGAATTAGAAATATTAGTACTCCCAAATTGTGCTCTGGAGCATTTTACTCCAACCGATCTGAAAGCACCTTTGTTTTTGACTCTTCAGTCAATTTTGCCTCAATTCTGTACTTATCCAGAATTGAGAGATTGTACTGGTCAGAAAATGTTGAGCAGCCTGAGGTTCTTTTCTCTAGAAAAGAAATGACTGAAGGTTGAACTAATAGTGGTCTTAAAGATTTTAACGGTGTAGTAGAGTAAACATGGAGAAAATGTTTCAACCATTAGAGAGATGAAAACTTGGCAGAGAGTGGAGGATGGTATGGTGAGGAAGACAAGTGCAATCAGGAGCCATAAATAAAAGATAAATCTCTCATAAATCCAACAACTAATTCAGGAGAAACTTTGTTGACCAGAGAGTCATTAAAATGTGGAACATATCTCCACAAGATTAAATTAAAAACATAAATGTATTCAAGGGAAGGTAGATTAGGAAGGCTGAGGAAGTGCTGCACTGCTGCTATCTGTCAGTTCAGATGTTAACCCAAGGTCAACCTATGATTATATTCACTGGTTTGGAAAATGCAGCAACTTTACTTAGAACTTTAATATCACCTTCAAGCCACGATGCAGCCTTGTCATAATCACTCCAAGGAACTCTTGTTTGCTCAGACACCCATCTCCATCCACATCAAAAATCCTGAAGACAGTATCAAGAACATTATCTGATAATTCTTGCCCTGTTGCGACTTTCACAGCTCTCTTGAATTGTCCTAAATTTAACATGGAAAACATGCGTAACATTTAGACAAAGTTGTTCCAATATCAATAAAAGCATCAAGATATAAAATGTACTTCTCCTTGAACAAGTAATATATTGTTGCAAGTGCTACCATGGATTTATGTAGCATTTCTTATCTAGTTGAAGCATGTTAAATATATAAAAGG